AAGGCACATTTTCTGAAAGACAATATTAGAAACATTTCACTGAAATATAAAGTAAACCAATTCTAGCGAAGTCGATATGAAAACAAGCTATGGACTCTTAACCGAAATAGAAAAATAGCGTTAGTCAAATACATTCAAATATTAATGTTAGTGAATTATAATGTCCTCCAGACTGAATTTCGGCCATGGCGGCCTACCTCAATAGAGGCTATCGGCGCAGGACAGGATTTTAGTGCCCAATTGTATGCGCAAGCACAGGTGCACTCTCTATTACCTCACTCTCGTAATCCGATGGGACGATAAACCGACACGACCGGGAGAGAGATCAAGCGTAGAATCAACGGCTTTACGTTCTTTCCGAGGCACGGGGAACACCGCCAACTTCCTGACTCCGGGCAGCTACTTGGAATTTCTTGACAGAAAAACTCAATAAATTGATTTTTGGCCCGACGCGGGATTCGAACTCAGGACCACATGACCAGCAGTCGCACTACTACAACCACTAGACCAACCAGGCAGTCAGTTAGTGAATTACGGAATAAATAAATATAACAAACATAATTATATCCACTTTGATAACAAATTCAGAAAGTGGGTAGTAGAAATTGCCACGATATTGTGACATAGTATCTTATATGCCCGAGTTCTATATTCAAGAAACGATCCGTTTACCGTGACAGTCTGTTTTATTATACACGGCTTTCATATAAAAATAGGTTTATAAAAATTATCATTCCAGAAACAGTTAAATTAGGCTTTAAATTAAAACTAAAAAGGATGAAATAATAACATATTTCAAAGTGGGTGCGTAAATAGTGGAATAGTTAAAACCCCGACTTCGGAATGTGAAAATATTTCATTCTTGTTAGTTCTTTGAAGTAGGGTTAAAAACCCTACACCTACTTTATTATATTAAAAGTTAATTTTACCATTTTAAGCAGACTACGGAATATTCGTGTAGCGTCGGTGTACAAATATCCATTGGCTCACATCGTCCCTCCTTATAAGGCATTCTAAAGTAGAGGTCTGTATTCAGTAGCTTATACGTGGTAAAGCCATGGTACAGCTATATTTTAGTAGTACAACGAATGAGTCGCCACGACCGAATTTTGGAACATACGGATTCACACAGGCATTGAGTCTTCGTTTTATAGAACTAATCAAAACTAACTTTTCTTTCGAAAAACACAAGCGAGGGTAACGATGTAAAAGATAAAACAAAAGGTGGAAAATTAGGAGGAGCGTGGAGGAAAATCTCGTGTAACAAAGTGTGTCGTTACCTGTACCCATATTGGACCAACATGTGCATATTGTTACGAGCTTAGGGTTCGTGATAATAAAAACTGCCGATTAAGTTACCAAAATTAACACTTTAATTCACTCTACACCAATTAAAACTTAAAAGACACTAATAATTAATCACACTGATTCACTTTATTTCGCTCCGAAGCTTCGCTTGTATTGCCAAATTCAATACTTCCCCGACCGCGGCTTGCGGCGGCTTTAAATACACCTTTTCCACCAAAACATACAAAATATTCCAGAAAATACGGGCCCCCGATCGACTAAATTCAGAAAGTTCGAGAGTGGACCCTTCTAAAAAGCTTAGTTCTTCCATTCGATACTAGATGGCGCTGTTGGTGGAAAGTGCAAGAATGGCATTTTCTAGAAAGCCCTCCTCGCTCTATTCCCCGACACTAGATGGCGCTAGTGACAGGTACCAGACATCAACTTAGGCGCGCAAAATATTTATAAAAATGTTTGCCTATTTGCTATACTAATATCAAAATAAAATAAAATGTGTCTTTTCTTAATATATTTAATCACAACTATCGGTACAAGAAACACGTTTCAAGACTACAGTCAAATTAATCGCGACAAAATCATCAAAACTAGTTTTATTTAATGTTCAAGTAGTTATATAAGTAGTTATATTCAAGTATTCGTTAAAAATTTAAGAAGGTATCATGTTTCCCACATTAGAATTGGATATAAATAGAATTACATTATTACAAAATTAATATAAAAAATGTATGCTGGTAAATTATCCCACTTCTTTCTCGTACCTATCCACTCATTTATTACGTACGCAATAAAGGAGTGGAGACCTGTCGAACGTCTGGTTATCCGATGGTAGAAAGATGAGGGAAGCAAAATTAATAAAATCTTTTTTATTTTTTTGCTACATAATACTTATTGAAAGACAATTTTTAATGACCACTGGCTCGGAAAATACCTCGATCCGTGGAAGTACTGGCAAGAAACACACTCTACGTATTTTTTTTATACCGAGAGGCTGGCATCTCTGCGTCTGTATTCGAGACTGACTTGATTGGTTTATCCAAATCGGAAATAACTTATTTTACTTTTTGTATTTATAAAAAAGTGACAAATAAAAGAAAACTTTTTATAGTTTGATACAATCGAAGTTTCCGAGCGACCCTTTTTACTGGAAACGAGGCATTCCTTCTTAGTCCTCAGTGGTGACAAATCGTTTTTTGCCTATTGATATGAAAACTTCTTTAGCATCTTTGTGATTTAAACGTCTATGAAACGAAAAAGCGACATTAAAAAGATAGAGACACATAAATTCATAAGATTTAAAGTGGGAGAAAATGATAAAGGAAGCATTATAGCTAAATGCTCGCGAGAAAAAAGTCGTAAACGCCGCCGAAACGGCGTCGCTTAAGCGTTTTGTTTAACAAGATACGAAGGTGTCGTGTGCCTATGGAATAAACAAGCAGTGAAGAACGGAAAAAAACCTCAACTTCTTAATAGGTAAAATTGTAATAAATCTCTTTTTAATTAGTGAGTACTATACTTCTTCAAGAAATAACTTCTATTTAATCTTCATCAGCTTCAGGCCGTAAAAGGATGGTGCTATTTATTAGCTCTTAAGATTTTTAATAGATGTCGCTACTATTTTTTTAAAAACGCGCTGTAAGAGTGTCTTCACAAATGCCACAACTTATATATTTTGGTTAATATATTATATACACCCTCCTTTCTGCCAAAGAGGGTCGCGTCCGTCTACGGCTTAAAGATCTCTCGTCAGATCGGTAAACCAAACCCAAAAGGTGAAGTTTAGTGGGTAAAAGTCTCCACATAACACGTGGGTAATGTGTTCCCTCCCCGTTACCTCCAACCACCACCTACAACCCACCGGTTGCCCTTAATTGCTTCGGGCGTAAAAAAAATTATATATTACATCATCAATTCTGATATTCGCTGCAAAAACCTTGAATTACTGTGTCCCTCCGATTCGACGGTGGGTCATAATGTGTTACAAATAATAGTACATCGGATAATTTTATCGTATTTCTATATTAGCGGTGTGTCATAATGTTGTGTATTACTCTGTTGTTGCAATTTTGAGATGATTGTTGATGATTGATTTTTTGAGGCCCTTCGATTTAGCGATGGGGCGATGTGTATTATAAAAAAACATGTACGCAGCTCACACACGACAGAAGTGAAATCTTCAAATAAAATGGAATATAGAATACAAATTATAATTTAAACTACAAGTTCGGCATAAAATAAAAGAAAATTTAATTTTATAGTAACTAAATGTAACAGATTTTTAATACATATATTAGTCACATTGATATTACAGTCTTTCGAGTAAAATTATAATAGCGCCATCTACTTCATTCTATAGAATATAGTGACATTATCGAACAACTGATTGACACCCAAGGTGGTACGTAAATTAGACCCTAGATGGCCTGAATTTATGAAATCATGAATTTTCAATTTGAAGGTTTCACTTTTGTCGCGTGTGAGCTACACGCATTTTTTTAATTTATTATTTATTTAAACTATTAGCATTTCGATTTTTAATTGAGGATAGATGTAGATTTCTATGGGCACAGTAGCCTCGTACCATCAGGTGGGCTGTGTGTTCGTTTACCACCCATATTCTATAAAAAATATTTTAGAAGTTTTAAGTGAAATATTTGCTACTCATTGTCTACCTAGGAGTCCGTCCGGAAAGGTACAACCCATTCACCTATTTCTGTCGCAAATAGCAATGCTTATTATGAGCTCTAAGAAATAAAGAAGAATAACTGTGATTGCATTCGAAATGCGAGATTGCTAACAAAATTTAGTCAGAACGTATATACGGTTTCATTAACAACTCCCCTGTCCGCGAAATGGACACAATAGTGAAACAATCGAAATGTTCATATATGGACTCATGGGACAGTGAAATGGTTAATACTATTAACAGTTGTTACCAAAAAAGCTGCCAAATTTCATTCATTCTTTTATAACGTGGTAGAGCCATTGCAAACTTTTAAAACGTGGTAGAGCCACGCTGTAATTATATTAGTAATATAGTTGTAGCACGAATGGGTCGGCTCGACCGGGGAAGAAAGGCAAAACATTTGTAGGGGTGGTTATGATCGGTAATATTGTTTCAAAAATGAAATTATTTGTTAGTTTAGAGCCTAAAATATAACATATTATACATGTCATTACTTTTGCGGGCATTATTCTTGCAACTCTTAAGTACACATTGCGGCATTGTGAAACGTGTTTACCCAATGTAAATGTTCAGTAGTAGACTTTTGATGAGCTGTAATGGATGGAATTCAACAATACTCGTAATTTATAAAGCTTTATAAATTACAAGTATTTATCCAACACTCTATGTACGAGTACCTTGAACTGCTGAAATAAAACACTTTTCTAGATATTAATACAAATCAAATTATTATGCACTATGAAGACTTTCACCACATATCTTTCCTTATTGCAATAATAATAATAATAATAATAAGGCGTAGGGAAGTGACGACCCCATCGCCCGCTGATATAACGGTTATGTGACAAAACCGCTACGTCGGCGCAGTCAGTCAGCACCTTGCCAAGAGGTGTTAGTGCCGTGCCTCGGCAAAAATTGAAGGTGCCAAGGCCCGCTTGTGCACATGGCCTAACCATGAAACGGCGCCGGGTCTGGGCGTCTCCCGCTAAATGACGCCCTAAAATGGATGATGGAATCAAATGGAACGCGCAAAGGGCCGCTGCCTGGAGGTCGCCAGGGCGCGTCTGGAGCTGGCGCTGGACGCGACAGCATGCGAACCGCCAGCCGAGCGCGAGGTGCTGCACGACCACCCAGCAGCTCCTCGCATCCATCATCCCCACCAGCTGGCTTGGTGTCGGCAGGGTCTTCGCGGGCTCAGCAATCGGCACCCGCCACTGGTGGAGTACGCCGCATGCGTTGGACAACCCAGATGAACAGCAACGCATTGCGGGCGTATTTTAGGGCGAAAGGGGGAGAAACTGGAGGTTTTGCGTATCGGGCAAGGATGCATCGACTTTTTGCTGAGCTGGAGCCATCTGTAACCGTCACCGAGCAAAACCTGGCAGACCGAGTTCGGTATATCTTGCGCTCAAATACATTTGATGTCACCGAACTCGAACGGCTACGACGTGAGGCTGTTCCTTCATCGGGTGAAAATGCTGCGGCTGAGGATGCGGCGCCACAACTTGCTGAGCAAACGGCAAATGTGGATGCCGCCGTGAATACGCCAGTTGTGGTTGATTCAAACGATGATGGAACAGTCGCCCAGGAACTGGAACTAGAGCAAATGAGGAGTACATTGGAAGAGGCGATTGTGGAAACGCGCAGTACGACTCTCGAAAATCGACCGCGACTTCCCCGCTTAGCCCTAAGCAAGCGGAATCGGGCTGTCGTGAGGGCTCTGAACCCAATGCTGGTTACCTATTTGGAAGCCAGCCGGGACCTTTGCGATACGGACTCAATTCTTTTTGGCGCCGCACTGGCAGTCTGCCGTATTATAGGTGCCAAACTTTCCACGGCTGGACGCGCTACTGGACAAAGTAGTGCTATCCCAGCCTGGAGAATAAGAATTGAAGAACGTATCGCAAAGGCTAGGGCCCTCATCGGCAGACTGATATGCTTCAGGTCAGGCAATACCAGGCCAAGGATTGTGCGCACCGTCAGGATGGCGTTTGCTGGGACAAATGTTAGTTTGTCCCAGCCGGATATAATGCAAAAACTGACGGAGCGCATAGACGACCTGAAGCAAAGAATAGCTGCTTGGGGAAAGCGGATTCGGCGATATACCGAGAGGTCGACACGGTTCAACCAGAATCGTCTCTTCCAGAGTGATCAGAAGAGGCTCTATAAATCATTGGAGCGACCAATAGTAAGTGGAACGGGCCCTGCACCAAATCAGGCCGACATGGTCGCATTCTGGCGCAGCCTGTGGTCAGAGCCCGTAAACCACAACGAGGGCCCTTGGACGGAAGTTGTGGCGAGTCAGTGTGCGAGTATTACGCCCATGGACCCCGTCATCATAACGCCGGATGACGTAGCTGAGGCGGTCCGTAGGGCCCCGAACTGGAAAAGTCCGGGGCTTGACGGGCTGCATCACTACTGGCTGAAGGGGTTCATGGTGTGTCACTCTGTGCTCGCCCGACAGTTTCAAGAGGCTCTCAACCAGAAGTCGCTCCCAAGCCTCTTCACTACTGGGATCACTCATTTGGTTCCTAAAGATCAGGGTGCCACAGACCCGAGCAAATACCGCCCCATCACGTGTCTACCGACCATATACAAGACACTAACATCCATTTTGAGCGCAAGAATCGCTCGTCACCTGGACTTAAATCAGGTGATGTCGCGCGCTCAAAATGGATGTCGGGGCGGCGGTCGTGGAACCAAGGAACCACTCCTCATTGACGCGGTCATTGGCAAAGTGGTGAAACGCAACCGTCGGAACTTCTCCGCCGCCTGGATAGATTACAGAAAGGCATTTGACTCGGTGCCCCATACATGGCTAAAGAGGGTCCTCGAGCTGTACAAGATTGACTGTACAGTTCGAGACTTCCTCGAGCAGTGTATGGGGCAGTGGAGTACGATCCTCTGTCATCTAGGCGAGCGGATGACGGCTGCGGAAAGCCGCATAAGGATAAGAAGGGGTATATTCCAGGGCGACTGTCTGAGTCCAATCTGGTTCTGCCTCTCTTTGAACCCTCTCAGTACTTTACTGGAGGGCTCCGGGAAGGGATTTCAGCTTCGGAAAGGAGGTACAAAAGTGACCCACCTTTTCTATATGGATGACCTCAAATTATTCGCCTCCAGTCGCTCCCATCTTATGGAATTGCTAAACATCACGTGTGAATTTAGCAATTCTATTAGAATGGAGCTGGGGACGGATAAGTGTGCGGTCCTCCATGTTGAAAGGGGAAGGGTTGCTGACTCTGAGGGCATAGACTTATCTATGCCCGTCAACTTAAGAACCCTTTCCGAGGCTGAAACATACCGATACCTGGGTATGTCACAGAACATCGGTATCGATGAGGCTGGTATGAAACAGTCAGTTTGCGACGTGTTTTATGCACGCTTGACCAAAGTGCTTAACAGCCTTTTGTCCGGTGTGAATAAGGCACACGCATATAACGGTTGGGTCATGCCTGTCCTCATGTATACCTTTGGCATACTCAGGTGGACTCAGACTGAACTTAACGCCCTGGATAGAAAAGTCCGCACTACCATGACGTCCCATAGGATGCATCATCCGAGATCGTCGGTAATGAGGCTGTACTTGCCGCGGAAGCATGGTGGTCGTGGCTTCTTGAGCGCGCTCACCATGCATAATCGCGAAGTGTGCAGCCTCCGTGATTACTTCCTTGCGAGATCGGATGATCCATTCTATAAGGACGTCATTTCTTGTGATAAAGGACTTACCCCTCTATCCTTAGCCAACGAGCAATGGCAAGACCCGGCAGTGCAGAGCATTTCCGACCGGGAGACCGTATGGAAGGAGAAGGAGCTCCACGGGAGGTTCTACAAGGCTCTACATGAGCCTTTCGTAGACACAGTAGCCTCCCTCCACTGGCTACGCTTTGGTGATCTCTTCGGGGAAACCGAGGGTTTTGTCTGTGCAATACAGGATCAGGTTATTAAGACCAACAACTATCGGAGATACATCCTAAAGGATGGCACCGTCGACATCTGTCGAGCTTGTCGCCATCCCGGTGAGTCACTTAGGCATGTTATCTCCGGTTGTTCGGCGCTTTCTAACTCTGAGTACTTGCACAGGCACAACCTAGTAGCCAGAATTCTACACCAGGAGCTCGCTCTGAAATACGGTCTCGTGGATCGGAAATTGCCGTATTACAAGTACTTGCCGGAAGCCGTGCTCGAAAATGATCGCGCCAGGCTCTATTGGGACCGGGCCATCATCACAGACAGGACTATTCTTGCGAATAAGCCTGATATTGTGCTGATGGACCGGGCACAGTCAAGGATATTTTTGGTCGACATTACCATTCCGTATGACGAGAACCTCGTGAAAGCCGAAACAGACAAGCAAACAAAATATCTGGACCTGGCTCACGAGGTGACCGACATGTGGGGTGGTCTGCCGACCGAAATTATTCCTGTAGTCGTCTCTGCAAACGGGCTAATCCCAGTCAGCCTCTCGGGTCATCTGAGGCGGCTGGGACTACGTGGCGGACCGCTCCAGGTTCAAATGCAGAAGGCGGTGCTCCTCGATACCGCCCGCATCGTCCGCCGGTTTCTTTCCCTTTCCCCCTAACCCTCGGCCGTTTGGTCTCCCCTGCCGAGGGCCTCCATCTGGTTGGGCTTTTACTTATTTATGTACTTTTATATTTATTTTATGTTATTGATATTTATGTATATTTATCTTTTCATTTTCATTTATAATTATATATTTATAGAACCCAACCAGATGAGAAAACTATATAGATACCCCATAATAATAATAATAATAAATGGCGTAGGGAATTGACGACCCCATCGCCCGCTGACGTAACAGTTAAGTGACAAAACTGCTACGTCAACGCAGTCAGTCAGCGCCTTGCGAGAGGTGTGAGCGCCGTGCCTCGGCAGAATTCAGGGTGCAAAGGCCCGTTTGTGCTTATGGCCGTCCACGATACGGTGCCGGGCCTGGGCGTCTCCCGTTAATGGACGCCCATATTATGGATGATGGAGAAAAAGATAGTGCGCAAAGGGCCGCTGCCTGGAGGTCGCCAGGGCGCGTCTGGAGCTGGCGCTGGACGCGACAGCATGCGGGCCGCCAGCCGAGCGCGGGGTGTTGCAAGACCACCTAGCAGCCCCCCGCATCCATCATCCCCACCAGAAGGCTTGGTGTCGGCTGGGTCTTCTCGGACTCAGCAAGCGGCACCCGCCGCTGGTGGAGCACGTCGCATGCGTTGGTCTAAATCAATGAATGAAAACGCACTGCGGGCGTATTTTAGGGCAAAAGGGGAAGAAACTGGATGTTTGGCGTATCGGGCTCGGATGCATCGCTTTTTTGCAGAGCTGGAGCCATCTCTATCCGTCACTGAGCAAAACCTGGCAGACCGAGTTAGGTACATCCTGCGCTCCAACATATTTGGTGACGCCGAACTCGAGCGACTACGACGTGAGGCTATTCCTTCATCGAATGGAAATGCTACGGCTGGGAATGCGGCGCCACTAGATGCGCAACAAACTGCATATGTGGATGCTGCCGTCAACATTCCATTTGTGGCTAATTCAGACGATGATGGAATAGTCTCCCACGAACTAGAGAAAATGAGGAGCATATTGGAAGAGTCGATGCTGGAAACGCGCAGCATGCCTCTCGAAAATCGACCGCGACTTCCCCGCATACCCCTTAGCAAGCGAAATCGGGCTGTCGTACGGGCTCTTAACCCAATGCTGGTGACCTATTTGGAAGCCAGCCGGGACCTTTGCGAGACGGATTCAATTCTTTTTGGCGCCGCACTGGCAGTATGCCGTATTATTGGCGCCAAACTTCCCGTGGCTGGACGTGCTACTCAAAAAAGTAGCGCCATCCCAGCCTGGAGAAAAAGAATTGAGGACCGTATCGCAAAGGCAAGGGCCCTTATCGGCAGACTGACAAGCTTCAGGTCGGGTAATAATAGACCGAGGATTATGCGCACCGTTAGGATGGCGTTTGCTGGGACAAATATCAGTTTGTTCCAGCCGGATATCACGCAAAAACTAACGGAGCGCATAGATGACCTGAAGCAAAAAATCGCTGCTTGGGGGAAGCGGATTCGACGATTTAGCGAGAGGTCAAGGCGGTTCAACCAGAATCGTCTCTTCCAGAGTGATCAGAAGAGGCTCTATAAATCATTGGAGCGACCAGAGGTATGTGGAGCGGGCCCAGGACCGGATCAGGCGGACACTGTCGCATTTTGGCGTGGCCTGTGGTCAGAGCCCGTAAACCACAGCGAGGGCCCTTGGATGGAAGTTGTGGCGAGCCAGAGTGCAAGTGTTACGCCTATGGACCCCGTCACCATAACGCCTGAAGACGTGGCTGAGGCGATCCGTAGGGCCCCGAACTGGAAAAGTCCGGGGCTCGACGGGCTGCATCATTACTGGCTGAAGGGGTTCGTAGTGTGTCACGCTGTGCTCGCCCGACAGTTTCAAGAGGCTCTCAACCAGAAGTCGCTCCCGAGCCTCTTCACTACTGGGATCACTCATTTGGTTCCTAAAGATCAGGATACCACAGACCCGAGCAAATACCGCCCCATCACGTGTCTACCCACCATATATAAGACACTGACATCCATTTTGAGCGCGAGAATCACTCGTCACCTGGAGCTAAATCAGGTGATGTCACGCGCTCAAAATGGATGCCGGGGCGGTGGTCGTGGAACCAAGGAACCACTCCTCATTGACGCGGTCATTGGCAAAGTGGTGAAACGCAACCGTCGGAATTTCTCCGCCGCCTGGATAGACTACAGAAAGGCATTCGACTCGGTGCCCCATACATGGCTAAAGAGAGTCCTCCGGCTGTACAAAATTGACTGTACAGTTGGAGACTTCCTCGAGCAGTGTATGGGGCAATGGAGTACGATCCTTTGCTATCTGGGCGAGCGGATGATGGCTGCGGAGAACCACATAAGGATAAGAAGGGGTATCTTCCAGGGCGATTGTCTGAGTCCAATCTGGTTCTGCCTCTCCCTGAACCCTCTCAGTACTTTACTGGAGGGCTCCGGGAGGGGATTTCAGCTTCGGAAAGGAGGTACAAAAGTGACCCACCTTTTCTATATGGATGACCTCAAGTTATTCGCCTCCAGTCGCTCCCATCTTATGGAATTGCTAAACATCACTTGTGAATTTAGCAATTCTATTGGAATGGAGCTGGGAACGGATAAGTGTGCGGTCCTCCATGTTGAAAGGGGGAGGGTTGCTAACTCTGAGGGCATAGACTTATCTATGCCCGTCAACTTAAGGACCCTTTCCGAGGCTGAAACATACCGATACCTGGGTATGTCACAGAACATCGGTATCGATGAGGCTGGTATGAAACAGTCAGTTTGCGACGTGTTTTATGCACGCTTGACCAAAGTGCTTAACAGCCTTTTGTCCGGTGTGAATAAGACACACGCATATAACGGCTGGGTCATGCCTGTCCTCATGTATACCTTTGGCATACTCAGGTGGACTCAGACTGAACTTAACGCCCTGGATAGAAAAGTCCGCACTACCATGACGTCCCACAGGATGCATCATCCGAGATCGTCGGTAATGAGGCTGTACTTGCCGCGAAAGCATGGTGGGCGTGGCTTCTTGAGCGCGCTCACCATGCATAATCGCGAAGTGTGCAGCCTCCGTAATTACTTCCTGGCGAGATCGGATGATCCATTCTATAAGGACGTCATTTCTAGTGATAAAGGACTTACCCCTCTATCCTTAGCCAACGAGCAATGGCAAGACCCGGCAGTGCAGACAATTTCCGACCGGGAGAACGTATGGAAGGAGAAGGAGCTCCACGGGAGGTTCTACAAGGCTCTACATGAGCCTTTCGTAGACACAGTAGCCTCCCTCCACTGGCTACGCTTTGGTGATCTCTTCGGGGAAACCGAGGGTTTTGTCTGTGCAATACAGGATCAGGTTATTAAGACCAACAACTATCGGAGATACATCCTAAAGGATGGCACCGTGGACATCTGTCGAGCTTGTCGCCATCCCGGTGAGTCACTTAGGCATGTCATCTCCGGTTGTTCGGCGCTTTCTAACTCTGAGTACTTGCACAGGCACAACCTAGTAGCCAGAATTCTTCACCAGGAGCTCGCTCTGAAATACGGTCTCGTGGATCGGAAATTGCCGTATTACAAGTACTTGCCGGAAGCCGTGCTCGAAAATGATCGCGCCAGGCTCTATTGGGACCGGGCCATCATCACAGACAGGACTATTCTTGCGAATAAGCCTGATATTGTGCTGATGGACCGGGCACAGTCAAGGATATTTTTGGTCGACATTACCATTCCGTATGACGAGAACCTCGTGAAAGCCGAAACAGACAAGCAAACAAAATATCTGGACCTGGCTCACGAGGTGACTGACATGTGGGGTGGTCTGCCGACCGAAATTATTCCTGTAGTCGTCTCTGCAAACGGGCTAATCCCAGTCAGCCTCTCGGGTCATCTGAGGCGACTGGGACTACGTGGCGGACCGCTCCGGGCTCAAATGCAGAAGGCGGTGCTCCTCGATACCGCCCGCATCGTCCGCCGGTTTCTTTCCCTTTCCCCCTAACCCTCGGCCGTTTGGTCTCCCCTGCCGAGGGCCTCCATCTGGTTGGGCTTTTATTTATTTATGTATTTTTATATTTATTTTATGTTATTGATATTTATGTATATTTATCTTTTCATTTTCATTTATAATTATATATTTATAGAACCCAACCAGATGAGAAAACTATATAGATACCCCACAATAATAATAATAATATTCCACAACTATCACACAACGCCATCTAGTCCCAAGCTAAACAGAGCTTGTGTTATGGGTACTAGACAACTGATAAACATACTTATATATTTTTAAATACATAAATATTATAGATAAATTACACCCAGACACAGAACAAATGATCGTGCTCATCACACAAACATTTGTCCTGGGTGGGATTCGAACCCACGACCTCCGGCTCAGCAGTCAGGGTCACTAACCACTAGACCAACAGGCCTGTCAAATTATTACTTATTGCAAAGTAATCTTGCATTCGCGAAACATCGGATGTATAGTGAAGTGGCGGAAAAAATGCTTGAATTGCGCTAACGTGCATTTTAAATTTTGTTTTCTTTGCAGCCTACTACGCAAATTTTTGGTTAAGGCCGTCTCAGAATACGTTGCTTCGAAGTAGATTTTTTCTTTTAATTTATTTGGAACCACCCCTGAAGATATCTCATGTATACAACAAGAATCAAAATTGGTTCCTTTTTACGGAGAAATCGCGTTACATCCATACTGGAACAAAACTACAGTCGAGTAGTATACCTCCTACCTTTTAAGTCGGTTAAAAAACTACAAAACCAGTTGTTACATTTAAGAATCTTATATACTGTCGCCTCAGAGTATAAAGAAGTACTTGTAGGTTAATTATGCATCAGTGATATGTGGTTGCAGGGGGAGCAACTTCTTATGCTTTACAAAGAGAAATTTGATAGAACACCCGCAATATTTTATCAAATGTTAAAAAAAATAAAGCATTAAATTAAATTAAATGATTAAAGTGTTTCCTTTTTTTCGTTTTATGTTCTTTTTAGTTCGTAATTCCATAGATGAATTTGGGCCTGCACGTTGCAGGAAGGATTTAATGCTGTAATCTTTGTGTTACATATCACCGATCTGCTATTTTGACATAGCACGTTTTTATAGAACAAGGTTAACAAACTAGCACACAGTCCACCTGACGGTAAGTAGATTGTTCGGCTTATAGACATCTACACCTATCCTCAATTAAGAATCAAAATGCAGATGCGTTTTCACCCCTTTAAAGAATTAAATGGAGTGCCTCGTTTCTAGTGAAAATGTCTCCGGTTATCTTCACTCACCGTACGAATAAAAACAACATTATGATGTTATTTCACGCTGGTATTCTGTGAGAGCGTGGTCATTCCCCGTTCGAGCCAACCCATTGGTGCTACAACCATAATATAGCTGCAGCATGGCTCTACCACGTAAAGAACCAGTTACGATTTAAGTAAAGAAAATAAACTCAGAGCCTACATGCATTCTTCAGCCGGACCCTTATTACCTAAAGGGTTTTTAGAGCAAGAAAGTGTCTGACGTACCGCCATAAGAGATGTTGGCGGACTTTCCATGTCTTCGAAATATTTTTTAAATTGCTAATGTTTAAGTTTCCTCGTAATGTTTTTTTTCACCGTCGGGCATCTGAAAAATCAGCAGTTAAAATTGCTATGAGCCATTTCGTTGTTGCCAGCGTGAGTCAAACCCGGGTTGCTCGCGTACTGTGAAATTTACTAATGTTTATTTCGTGAGCTACCACTACTTTATCATGGCAAATTCAACATATATTAATAATAATTGATTTCATATTTTTATGAATCGATTATAATAAAACAGAACAGATAAACAACAATGCCAGGAGTAATAAAGCTATCTAGGTGGGTAGGTAGTATATTTTATGCGAAAATGCGAGACATTTTTTGAAGAAATCGTAAAATTGTTAAAATAAATAGTCTTTATGTTTGTGTTCACATACATCACAAACATTAAAATACTTAAACGTCTAATGTGCCTTATTTTTCATAAAGATCTTTATGTCACGAGGATTGGAACATGGTGCTTGAATTTTAATTAACAATTTTATGGGTAATAATTTTTTGATATCACATACATTAAAACACGTAAATCCAATCCTACGCCAGTGAGGTACGTAGAGACTTTCATATCTTTATATCGACGCATACACACTCTTACTCTAAATTTGGCCCATTTTCAATATATCGCCGATTTTATGAGACAATGCCGTCTAGGGTCTTTGCCGATATATATTTAATATCATTTATTATTCATAATGTACTTCAACATACAATACAGTACTCTTCTTATATTAATACACCATTCAAACACAATATATACTAGAATTATATAAATTTATACAAAAAAGAACTTGTGTACAGCAGTGGACTTGTGACGGCCTGTAATGATGATAATGATTACGATGTAACAAAAGTAGTTTAATTTATCAGTTTATGATAAAACATCTCAAGTATAAAATATTCCGCCAGATGCTATGCATTTGAAGGATATTAACATATTTATGTAATAAACTGTCGAGTAAACACTTAAGTAGAGGCCTCCCTGACTAACAATATATGACGAAATCGGTAACGACCGTTTCGTCAGCGAATTATGTACAGCTTGCTTGAATTGTTTTAGTAACTCTGCAGAACTTCTCACTGTCATAAATTTGAAATAAAGCTCCCCCACGAGTGCTGTACATCGACACGCTGTTGTACTAAATCTTTTAAAGCAATCTTTATAAATCAGGTTAACTAGATAAATCCAATCACTGAATATAGATTTATATTTTCCTTTAAACCACTTTTTGTTTTGTGCTACTTTTTATGATCATTATAAAAAACCTGTTTTCATCATTATCATTATTATAGTCTATCTATATACATTATCTATCGCTGAACAAAAATCTACCAAAGACCGTCTCAAATCATGGTCTTAAGTCATCTCTATTAATTCGTTCCAATATTTTAATCTTACCAGC